ATAAGAAAGATCAAAATCAGTGTATAGCTTATTGGCAGAATACTTGCCTAGCATCTAGAAAGCCTTAGGTTCAGTTGTCAGCACTACAAAATAAAGTCAGAAATCATAGAGACAGGGTGGGAATGCTGGCACACAACTATAATCCCAGCATTTGGGAGGCTGAGGAAGGAGGATCATTGCTAGTTCAAGGCCAATCTGAATTGCATAATGAGACCCTGTCTCAAAAATAAAAAAATCATAAAAGCAGAAAGTAGAAGAGAGTTTAACAAAGATAGGGAGGAGCATAGAATGAAGTTATTGTCTAATAGTTATACACTCCACTTTTATAAGATGAAAAGGCTTCTAGAGATGCATGGAAAAACTAAAGATATCCATCATTTTTTGCTCAATTTTGTACTTCTTTTGGTAGCAGACTTTTTCTAATTAATTCTTAGTCATATTTTTTTAACTCACAGTTTGTGGAGGTTTTAGCCCATAATCAGCTGGCTTTGTGGCAAGGTGGCATGGTCAGAGACAACAGTTATAGGTGGCAGAAGACAGTGAAGACAACAAGAGTGAAAAGGGGGAGAGCAAGCTACTTTTCCTTATTTATATTGTAAGCAGGATACCCTAGGATGTAGGATATGCTACACCCCAGGATGTAGAACTGCTGAGTCTCTTACACTTCTAAAATTTTTGAGTTGACACAATGCATCAACGATTCCAACATGGAAGGGTATGGACAGCTGCTAGGGCATGTCCTCTACACCCTAGGATACAGAACTGCTGCGTCACTTGGTTAAGCTTCTAAACTTGAAAACTGAGTAGAAAAGGTACCACCTACATAGTAAATCAGTAACAACATGGAGAGAAGCAATTTTGGGATTTTTCTTTTCCTTTCTTGTATTGGGAATCAAACAGCCGTATGCTTGCCAGGCAGGCACTGCACCACTAAGCATATCCCCAGCCAAAGAAACAGTTTAAATGCAAATAAAAAATTACAGCTTTGGTGCTTTAGTGCCTCTCTACCCACTTTCCTCATCTGAGAAACTCCAAGACTACATACATCAACAGGAAGTTCATACCATTAAGAATGGTATCTACACTCAACTGTTGCCAGTGTACCATGAGATACATTTGAAAACAGCTTTAGAGGACAAGAAGGGATTGTGTCTGGAAGTCAGCTCTAGTTCACTAAAACTAAGATGCTTTGAGTTTGCACAGAAATTATAAATAAGTACCTCCAAAAAAGTTAAAACAGACTGTTATGTTTTGTGTCTCGTTGTCCCTCCAAAGCCTCATGCAGTCACTGAGGCAGGCTTTTAGAGTTTGTGATTAATTCATGATCCAGGGCTGGGATTATGGGTGTGAGGGCTACACCCTGTGGGGCGGACAGCCTGATTATGCTATATGGAAGGGAGTCTTGCCAGCTGCTCCAGCTGCTGCTCCTCCCTTTTGGCTCTTGCTGTTTCAGTGCCATGAACTGCTGCCCTCTGCCATATGCCACTCTGCCTTGGACCATCCAAATATGGACTGAAACTTCCAGTATGAGCTAAATAAACCTTTCCTTCCTTAATTTTGGGTGTTGGATATTTTGTCCCAGTAATAGGAAAAAGTAACCAAGACATAGACCACTGTTCATTCCTCACCATAAGGGAGTTTTGTTAAGTCTCTGATTGGATCTGACTGGGTGGTAGGGACGCCTGGAGACACCTGAAATTTACACTGGACACTTCAAGGACTCTGCCCACTGAGATTGCAAGATTACCAGAAAATTTTCCACAGATGTTCATTGGGATCCTCCCGCCTGATGTCCCTGCATTGTTCTCTCCATTTCTATAAAAAGGATACCCTTCTCTTCATTCAGAGCAGAGGGTTTTATCATTTTTCTGCCTGCACCCAGGCACAATGAATTCCATTCTGTGTTGCCTTTATACAGCCTGGTGGTCTCTGCTGGTGGCATATATGACAAGTTTAATAGACTTTTGAAATTATTATTGGTATACTCCCTTATTTCTGCTTTTATTTTTTCTATTTGCTATTCCTCTTTATCTGCAACTTTCATCTGTCCTGCATTCTTTTGGATTTGTTTTCAGTATTTCTTCAGATTTTAATTGAACATATTTGTATGCTTTTTAAATTACTAATTTTGTTTGTAGTCTTCACTTATAAAGCCTACTTTATCCTTTTTCCAGAACACATGTACTCAAAAACTCAGATATCCACTTTGTACTTTTTTTTATTATGCTCTGATTCTTTAAAATTAGCATATATAATAAAAAGTGAACATTTTTATTGGAAAAAATGTCGGTCTGTCACTTGTATATAACAAAAGAGGAAGAGGACATGTTTTAGTGATCGTCTCATAGTGTAAATAAAAGCTTAAGGCATAATGTTAATTTAGAGATGGAAAAAATAAAGAGATTGATTGTGTATGGCTCTTTCAGTTACAGGGCACAGACTATGAAGTTTTGGAAATCCAGGATGTTTGGATGAAACTGAATTTTGGTTTTCTTCTTGCTCAAATCTTGTACAGTCTAAGAAGACAATGAGGTTAGTGACAGAAACTCCTTAGGTGGCAGTTTGCATGTCTGGTACTAGAAATATTTTAATTCTGTATTTGTTCCTCCATCTAAGAAAGGAAGCAAACACATTTAAAGAACTTAGATTACATGACTCCTGACATATTCAAATTTCCTGGCTTCTTCTTCCCAGTGAGCTGCAACAGACTGCTGCAAACCTCTTGCTGACTTGACCCATACGTTAGTTCTTTCAAGGGGGTCTCACACCATGCTGCCAAGAAGCGAGCCTCCTATCCCTCTTCCTATTGTCTGTGGAGACTGGAATTTCTTAAATAAAGAAATGGAGGAGGGAAAGATGGATAGGACAGAGATGGTAAGTACTAAATAGGACTAAATCAAGACTTCATGTAGGAAATGAGAAAACTTTTTTTTTTTTTTTTTCTCCAAATGCCTTTAAGGCAGGTTTGGCTGGCTTGAGTTGTGGGGATCGAACCACAGCTACCTGAGCCTAACTGCTTTGTTGAAGCAGCCACTTAAAGAACTGAGCTAAGGGGCAGGCCCCCGAGAAAACTCTTAAGATGGAAAAAACCAAGACCTGCAACTATAAATACCTTGACTTCCCTGTGTGGTTGGCAAACTGATTCTGAAGACAATTCCCAAAATAGAAGATTCGAGAAACTTGGAGCTATTGCACAATTAAAATTAGTACATGGGCTCCTCAGGTAACTAAAAAGACAAGATTTAATTTTTTAGTATGCTTATTCCAAAAAGCACTACATCTCACACTCATTAATTACTTTTCATATAAGGGCCAATGAACAATGCAAATAGTTGTAACAACTTAACTTTTAAAGATTTAACTTAGCTTTTTTTTTCTTCTTAATTTTGTTAAGACAAGGTCTCACTTTGTAGTTGAGGCTAGCCTTGAACTCACTGCATAGCTCAGGTTGACCCTGAAAGCTAAGAACTTTAGTGTAAATAAAGCCTGGTTCATTTCTGAAGGGAATACGTAGAGCCTACAAATATCACATTCCAATATGAAGCTGAAGCAGAAAATCTTGGTCTTTCCACAGAACTTGATTGATGATGCCTATGTTGGTAATATGGGAAATTCCAGGCAGCCTTTGGAGTTAAACATATTATCAATTTCATAGGAAAACAAAACCATAAAACTCTCTTTCCCAAAGTTACAAAGTCTCATGACACTCTAATTTTATAAAAATTGCAAAGTCAAATATCCCTTGAGCTTATGATATACCAATGAAAAAACCCCAAATATTTAAAGTACAAATGTTTTATTTACATACATGTTATTGTGTAACTGAAAGCTTATAACATAAAACACATTTGCTTTTTAAACTCAATATCTCGTTAATTTTTTTTGGCATTTATATACTTCTTTATAAGAAATCTTAACTGGACATGATGGCACATGTCTCTAATCCCAGCACTTGAGAAGTTGAGGCAGGATTGCTGCAAGTTCAAAGTCAGCTTGGGCTATGGTAAATTCAAGGCCAGCCTGCTCCAAAAAGTAAGACCTTGTCTTAAAAAACCAAAAAGGAAAAGTCTTCACTTCTATAATTAATGCAGAGACCCAGATTTACTAACACTGCTGTATCCATTTGAACTGCCAGTAAAGCAAGGCATGGTGGTACATGCCTGTAATCCCAGCACTCAGGAGGCTGAAACAGGACCACTGTGAGTTTGAGGCCAGGCTGAGCTACAAAGTGAGTTCAAGGCCTGAACTGCATAGGGATACCCTGTCTCAAAAAGACAAATACAAACTAAACAAACAAAAGCCCTGCCAGTGAAGTGCCACACATTGTGTAGTAGTACACACAAGAAGGCTAAGTAAGGTAGGATTGTGGGTTTTGGGCCAATCTGAAAAATACAGTAAGACTGTTTCAAAAAATAAGAGTTGGGAAGTAACTTGTGCCAAAGGCTCTGGGTTCAATCTCTATAAGAAGAGAAAAAAAAAATTGCCAGCAAATGGATGAAAACATGACTGAAATTCATACTTTGTTAACCCACATTTAATCAATTATGTGAGTAGGAGGGAAAAATTATAATTTTTTTTTTTTTCCTGTAGAAACTTCTAAAAATCTTTTGGTTTTCATTTCAGTTTTTGAGACAGGGTCTCACTGTGTTGCCATGGCTGATTGTGAGCTCTCAGACTTAGGTGATCCTTACACCTCAGCAGGGACTGCAGACACCACAAACTCTTAATAACTTAATAGTGTACTGAGCATTTGTTTTACATTTGCTTGTGTAATTATTTATTACAAAAACTAGAAGTGGTGTCATTTGCATTACTTTTGCTTACTTTCCAAGTTTATTTTTTTGGGGGAACAGGGGATTGAACTCAGACCCTTGCACTTGCCAGGGAAGCTCTTATTCTGCTGAGCCATCTCCCTGGCCTCTTACTTTCCAAGTTTTATGCTATATTGTGTGCACTCCAATTTTTTTTTTGAATTTTTTTCTGAAAAAATGTATCAATGCCAGAACATGACTGACACTCACTTTTTTCTTATGAGACTGTTCTTCAGCATTCAAATAAGGGACTCCACATCATGAGTCCTCTGCTATGTAATAAGATTCATCTAATATTTAAGGCTGTTGTATTCATAAAGTAAATACTAAGTGTGCATTTTCTGATGTACAATAAGATTTGACTTCTGGGAAAATGCTCTCCCACATATGTTACATTCATAGGGCTTCTCTCCTGTATGAGTTACCCGATGTCTAAGAAGATGAGACTTCTTGATGAAGGCTTTGCCACATTCAATACATCCATAAGGTTTCTCTCCTGTATGGATTCTTTGATGTGTTACAAGCACAGATGTGTTGCCAAAGGCCTTGTCACATACAACGCATCGGTAGGGTTTCTCTCCTGTGTGACTTCTAGAATGTTTATAGAGCGATGAACTATACTTGAACGATTTCCCACATTCTTTACACTCAAATGGGTTCTCAAGCATATGAGATTTCACATGTTGATTAAAAGAGGAGCTCCAAATAAATGTTTTCCCACAATGATTGCACTTATAAGGTTTTTCTCCAGTGTGAAGTCTCTGGTGGTTCACAAGGTAGGATTTCTGTGTAAAAGCTTTCCCACAATCGGTGCACTCAAAGGGTCTCTCTCCACTATGCATTTTCTGATGAGCTATAAGATATGCCTTCCTGCTATAAGCTTTCCCACAGACATTACATTCTAAAGGTTTTTTTCTTGCATGATTTTTTTCATGTCTAATAAAATGAAACTTGTTTTTGAAGATTTCCCCACATTCACTGTATTCACATGAGTTTTCTCCAGTGTAACTTCTATTATAATCGAGTAGGTCTGAATTAGGTTCCCAATTCTTCCCATGTGATTTACATTTATGTGGTTTCTTTCTTCTTGGATTAAGATGTGTGCTCTTGTCGCAAAGGTGGAGTTTCTCCACAGTCAGTATTCTATCGAACGTAAACAAAACCGACTTCAAAAAGTTGTCTTTGTTTTCCTGATGCTTCTCTGGTTCATCAAGTGGACAATCAGCTTCTAAAAAGGAATACAACAAAACATTTCTAGTTATTTCTTCCTCTCCAACCTATGATAGACAGAAAAATCTGTGGTTTCAAATCAAGTCTCTGTTTTTTTTGTTTTGTTTTTGGTACTACTGAGAAGTGAACTCAGGACCTTGTGCTTGCCAGGCAGGTGCTGTGCTGTTGAACTATATATCCTTGGTCAAGTCACTTATTCTATAATAAACCCTCTATTTGCCTTGGTCTTTTTGAACTTTATGAATAAAACTGCTAAAGAGGAAATGGGAGCAGATGAATAACAAAAATGAGATGATTTAACATAATTTGTAGAAACTCAGTGGAGCTTTGGTTAATGGCAAAGGTCACAAGGGGAAGAGAAGACAAGACAGCTAAGGGCAAAACTAAGTTTGGAAGATGCAGATAAGAAGTACAGTCTTCTCTACAAATACCTAGATTATCCTGGTCACATAGTTCCCTATTTCTCTCCTTTCTCTTTTTCCTTCTGATCATCCTGCAGACTATCAATTTCCCTTAAGAAATTCTTGAATCTCCAGTCCTCTTAACCACATCTAGATGAGGCATAGTTTTAGACAGGGCTCCAACTCTACTGACAGCTCACATTCATTTTGTATGTACTTCTTCTTCTTCTTTTTTTTTTTCCAGAAAAGAAAAGGATTCAGGGATTGAACTCAGGCGTTTGCACTTGCCAAGCAAGCGCTTATTCTACTGAGCCATCTCCCTGGTCCCCTGTATGTACTTCGAAGCCTAGGAACATAAGATGTGCAGCAGGTCATGCATAGGTTAAGTCATTCTTTACCTAACCACTGATTTTATTTGCTAACATATTGATTCTTGCTGAGTTTCCATGTATAATAAATTAGCTGTTGTATCTGTATTGGGCATACTGCATACTCTTTCAGTCTGCCTGATAAACTAGTCTCTGAAAGCTGTTTTACTCCTTAAGTCATATTTTTTGCTCCTAGTCTCAAAATCTTATAAATCTCAAATCTATTACTCCATTTTAAAAAATGGGGGAGAAGGGATCATATTTTTCTGGAGTTTCCCTCCATGTGAAATGTTAGTATAGTACAACACTCCCAACTTCTCAGAACTGAACCAAGTTCAGGTAATAGGCATTAATACACATTTTGTTATAGAGTGGCTCTAGTATGGGGATTCACTTCTTTTTTCTTTTCTAGTAAAACTACATTCTAGCTTTTTATGTAGATGATCCTCAACTTACAATGGAGTTATGTCCTGATAAACTCCTTATAAGTTGACAGTTTTATTAAAGTTAAGATGCACTTAATATACCTAATCCACCAAACATTTTAGATTAGTAGCACAGTACACTGTAGAGTACTGACTGTTTACCCTCATGATTGTGTGACTGACTCAGAGTTGTGGTTTACTACTGTTGCCCAGCATCATGGCAGAGGACCATACATTGCCAGCCCAGAAGATATCAACATTCAAAATCTAAAGTACAGTTTCTAAACACATTATTACTTTTTGTCCTAATGAGCCTCATTCATTTGGAAAGTGAGTGGATCATGGGATATTATAGCTAACTCGTAGGGAGATGGGACCTGGTCAGATGAGGGAGGTCCTTGGGATATGACCTGGGAGGATCTCCTGTCATAGCTCATCCCTTCATGCTCTGCTTCCTGGCCACTGGAAGTGTGCAGCTTTTCTTCTATAATGCCCCTGTGCCAGGCCATTTTTCCCTGGAGCCCACTGACCTAGACTGCAACAGTGAGCTAAATAAACATCTCCTCCTTTAATTTGTGGGTGTCAGGTACTCTGTCCCAGTAACAGGAAAGTAGCTGAGACAGTGAAGTCAAAAATCCTAAACTTAAGCATCCTTAATCAGAGATTATATGTGATTATCTTTTGCTCTTGACCTTTTCCCATCTTAACTTACCCTTCCTCACCGCCTCTGTTTAGTACTTGATATTCTTTAGGGAGGAGTTTTGTTCCATGATATCAAAGAAACATGTCTCTAATCTTGACTTTTCTTTCAATTTCTAAAATAATCTTTATTCTGGGTTGTATCTAAAATGTGCCCTGCCTCCTTGCCTTGTGCTGGGAGGTTAGTTTCCAGCTAACAGGTTTTTGGTAGATGAATGGATCATAAAGGCTCAAATTTTGGGCCTGCCTGTGCCGGCCCCACCCCCGGGCACACTGAGACGCAATTGAGACTGGGCGTGGTGGCACATGGCTGTAATCCCAGCTCTTGGTAGGCTGTAAACAGGCAGATCACTATGAGTCTGATCTAGTAGTAAGACGCTGAACACTGTAGACCCTTCCCTAAACTTCAAAGAATAAATAAATATTAAATACATAAAGGCTCAAACTTCTTCAGGGCATTAGTCAGTAATGGTTTCATGATTTGATGGAATCATTGGGAGGTGATGAAATTTGGAAGGTGGAGCCTGGTTGAAGTGAGTGGGTCACAGACATGCAACCTTGATGACACTGCGGGTACCTTTCCCTACCCTTCCTCTCAGACTCTGGCTTTCTCTGTGCTTCCCAGCTGCCATGAAGGAAGCAGATCTCCTCTGCTATGCTGTTCTGCCATGATGTATCTGCCTTGTCGCAGGCCTGACACCAAAGGAGTCAGCTCAGAATGGACTGAGACCACAAATCCAAGTTAGTCCCTCCTCCTTCAAGTCATTATCCTCAGGTATTTTGTCACATAACAGGAGACTGATGGACTCAGTAACTTGCCTGTGCCATTCATTTTGGCAGTATTAACTAGATCAAGCTGCCATTATAGTCTCTATAATCAATACAGATTATAAAACAAATGTTTTATACTCATCAAATTTTAAAATGTTTTAAATGTTTTGCACTTCCAGTTACCATTTATACACTAGGAAATGGTGATAAGTTTTTGCTTTCTTTGAATCTTTCTCAGGAAACACTTTAAAAAGTCTTGTAGTATGGAAAAAAAACACCCATGATGCCTGGCTCTACAATAGTGAATTAATGAAACGTTCATTAAAAGAAATTATACAACTCTTTAGGGTACTGTCATGAAAAACTATTATCTTAAAAACCACATGGGTTTTGTAAAAGTCCAAAATGGAATGTGTGAAGTTGTCAGGACAGTTACGGCAGAATTGTACAGGGAGTTCCAGAAGGCAGAAATTGACAGAGTTTTCATGAAAGACAAGAAAACTGACATCAAACTTAATTGCACACTGGCTTTAAGTACAGTCCACCTGAATTAAAAGGACTGGTGCAGAAAAAGAAAATTATGTGTGAAGGACATAAAAGAGCCCAATTCTCAGAATAGGGAAAAGGTTTCTTTTTGTTTTTTTGAGACAGGGTCTCACTATGCTGTTCAGGCTGGCACTGAGCTCACTATGCAGCCCAGACTGGTCTCGAACTAGCAACAATTCTCCTGCCTCAGCCTCCTGAGTGCTGGGATTAAGGTGTGCACCAATATGCCCATTTTGTTTTTAATATAGATAATGTTTCATTTGTTTGCTTTGGGACTGGGTCTCACTATGTCATTCAGGCTGGCCTTGAATTCACTACATAGCCTAGGCTGGCCTTAAACCTGTGGCAATCCTCTTGCTTCAGACACCCAAGTTCTGGGACTCCAGGCAAAATAGGTGCTTTTTGATAAGCAAACTACAACCACATTACATTTTTCAGGATAGAGATAAAATGAAATAATTTGTTTAAGTCATAGACTAACATCTAAGGTAAACCAAATAGACTAGAAATAGGAAAAATAGTAACATCAACAGCCCAGATCAGTAATTTAAATTCACTTGGCTTAGAGCCAGGCATGGGGCCGGGGAGATGGCTCAGTGGAATAAGTGCTTCCCTGGCAAGCGCAAGGCCTGAGTTCAATCCCTGGTTCTGGGAAAAAAAAAAAAAAAAAAAAAAAAGCCAGGCATGAGGGCACACGCCTGTAATCCCAGCACCCTAGAGGCTCAGACCAGAAGATCACAAGTTCAAGACTGGCCTAGCTTACACAGCAAATTCAAGGTCAACTTGGACTATAGTGAGTAGTACCATCTCAAAAAAACAAAACTAATAATTCTCAATAAAATTACTTTAAAATAAATAAATAAAGTTTGTGTTTACCAGGCAAAAAAAAAAAAAAAAAAAAAAAAAAAAAAAAAAAAAAAAAAAAAAAAAAAAAAAAAAAAAACTCCCTTGGTTTATGTCAGAAGATATGGTTCTGGGGAATTGACATCTGAATAATTTGAAATATATTTCTTTTATGCTGTTTGCGGAAAACCATTGAATCAATATTAGATATGTGAACAGCTGAAATTACAGGTCGTAAAATTGTAAGTTATACACCATTTGAAGTAAAACTGCTGAGAGACAACACTGTTTACTGCAGTTATTTTAAAACTAGAGAATCTGCCCAAAAAATGTATATACACTTTAGGAAAATAGTGTGATTTTTTTTTTTTTCTTTTTAAATAGATGGTGTTACCCTCATATGGAGAACCCGAGAGTATTTCATGTATCACGGAATACCCACTACACCGCCAGCCCTTAGAGAGGAAACTGAAAATTGACTAGCAGCAGTCTCAAAGACCCAAAGTTACCTAAGCAGCAGTTTGCTACTAATAAATGTTTGGAAGCTAGTGACAACTTTGAGTACCTCAAGGGTAACTCTTATTAATCTCATGATGGCTCAATAAATTTAGTATTAAAATATTTAAGTTTTTCTTTTCACTATGTGTATAAATTTTTCTTGGTGGGCTCTGTGTTGTTCCAGTTTTAGTATGTGCTGTCAAAGTGAATACATTCTATTCTTTATTGTAACATTATATAAACCAGTGGGCCAGTCATTATTCTTTATCGTAACATAAAATGTAAAGATTAAAGAATTTTTAAAATTGGGCCAGTGAGGTAGCTCAGCTGTCTAAAATGCCTGCTTAGGTAACTGCAGGGACCACAGTTTGATCCCCAGCACCACATGCCGCACCAGCTCTGCCCCCAGGATGGGCTGAGCTGGCCACAAAAATAAGAAAAAGAAAAAGAAAGAAAATTAAATTAATTACTGTGAAAAGACTGAAAATAAATCTTGGTATAAAATTTACGGGAATGGAAATTTGCTGAGGTAAAGGTGCTGGAGGTGGAGTGATGAGATGTCTCAGCGAGCTGTGGAGAGTTGCGAAGATGACAGAGGAGACAAGATAACTAAATCTCTTAACAAGAGAGGTAAGCACAGATTAACTAGGAAACAACCAAAAGTGAGTTGGACAGTTTCAAAAAGATGTCAAGCAGTATCACCAAGTGATACGCCAGAATATACTCATATCACCAATGACACTAAAGGTGAACAAGGTAAGTGTAGTGCTTCTTGTAAGTTTATGCTGCTCAGCTTCATTATGAATGTAAGTTTAACTTTCTTTCTTTTTTTTTTTTTTGGCGGAACCAGGGATTGAACTCAGGCCCTCGCACTTGCCAGGGAAGCGCTTATTCCACTGAGCCGTCTCCCCGGCCGTAAGTTTAACTTTCTAATACCAGAAGCAGGTCTTGGTCATGCCTGACACAGCTGCCAGTGCTACACCGCTTCCACTGCTCAAATCTTCAGCGTGGTCAATCCAGATTGCCACTGTACACAACAGTGCTCCTTGGTTATGACTTAATTCTCTGTGGTATAGTATAGCCAGCTTAACTTGTCCTGGTGATCATCAAACCTGCATGGGTTATGCAAATATGTCCCAGTAAACACCACTCAGCTATCGTGTGACCTCCTGGTACTTGTACTTCCATGCTTTAAAACTACTCGTAAAACTCCACATCTCAGGTGTCTGAATAACAAACACCTTAGACTCAATTGAAGCACTGGACAATGGTCTCTCTCAATCCCTGCCCTTGAGGTGTGTGTCCTCCAGTCATGCAGAGTGGCCTCTAGGACCTACGAGGAATAAAGTCTTTATTGCCGTTTTGTCTCCCAGTCACTCAAGGGCCGCTTAAGTGCAAGCCCAATCTGAGCAATTTACTAACAGAAGCTTATCTCAAAATTTAAAAAAAAACCCAAAACCAAAAAACAAACAAACAAAAAAACACAACAAATTAAAAGGCTGGGCAATTAGGCAATTTAGTGGGACTTAAGCCTCAAAATAAGAGACAGGCTGAGGATGTAGCTTAGTGTGAAGTCTCTGGGCTCAAGCCCCAGTACCAAAATGAAACAAAACAACACAAATCACAACACTAGATTTGATCCGCTGCCCTGTGTGCCAGCCCTGCCCCCAGGGTGCACTGAGACAGCAATTGAGACTAGGTGTGGTGGCGCACGCCTGTAATCCCAGCTCTTGGGAGGCTGTGAACAGGTGGATCACTATGAGTTCAATCTGGTAGTGAGACCCTGAACACTCTGTAAACCCTTCCCTAAAATACAAAAAAACAAAACAAAACAAAAAAACAACAAACCCAAAAACTAAAAAACACAACCCTAGGGTATATAATACAAAATGAAGAATAAGTTTATTTTTTTAAAAAAGGAAGATGACTAGAGCATCATCTAAACATGCACTGAACACTTACTCTCTGCAAGCTGTTTGAAGTATTTTGCATATAATAGTTTTTCTATATTCTTCATAGGAAACCTAAGGTAGGGATTAATATATTCTTATATTTTAATAAATTCATATTATTGTATTTAATAAAACATAATTCTTATGTTTTAATAAAATAATACAAAATAATCTGCCCAATGTTAGACAATGATTGGTAAGATAAAGTTTTAAATTTATACAATTAAATTACATTGTAAGAACTAATTATAGAAAAAGAACTGTAATCATGTTAAGAAGGAAAAAACCAAGGGCTTAAGGAACTATGAGAACAGAAATAAAGCAAGGACCTAGAGGAAACAGGCAATGTGGAGGCCAGCGTAGAGGACACCCCCTCTACAGCAGCTGGGCAAAGAGTAAGAGCACCCAAGTGGGGAGAAAGAAAAGAAGGTACATTTGGGAATTTGATGATGTTCTATCAAGAGTATCCAATTACTCACAAAGGTATGTAGCTTTTAAGAGGTGCTGCCTAAGAGGTATTTCAAAAGTGCATGTTGCTCACTGACTGGCTGGGAAGCTAATGCCCAGGACTCTCATCTACTTTTCTCTCACTCACTTGGATAGCTCCAATGCAGATTCTCTTCCTCCTCTAGCCATGGCTCTTGTCCTTGTTCTATCTTGAGGATCACTTCAGGTTTAGTAACTAGAGATCCTGTTCATGAGAAGACAACAAAGAAGAGAGATAAAGTGCTACAGGCAAAAAAAGCTACCTCCTAACACAATTCTACCACCTTGAGTCTCAGAGCCTTGACAAACAGGCTGTACTACAAAGCCCCTTCTTCAATGGGAGGTAGAAGTATAAAAAAGACTACCTGATCCATAAAGAGGATTAGGAATCTTTGATCACTGAAATTCAGGACCAAATTTATTAATCTTCAGATGTTCAGAATTTTTATAAGACTTAAAGGAAGGGTACTAACTGGTACATTCCAAATTATACTGAAAAGTTATCACCCAGTGTCCTTACCCACTGAAATGAGGTTTCTATAGTTGTCCAACATCACATCCCAATACATCATTCTCTGATTACAGTCAAGCAACTGCCACTCCTCTGGGGTGAAGTCCACAGCCACATCTTGAAATGTTACTAATTCCTGTAATAACACATTCATCATCAAACTAATGTGTGCATTATTGGGACTTGCAAGAGAATCGTAACAGACTCTTAATATATATTCACTGTTGAGTTTAGGGAAAGTTATGTACAGTACTACACAGCTGATCCAGAAATATACTTTGCAGGAAGACACAAACCATATGAAAAATATCCAATTAATGTCAGAAAAATTCAGTAGGAAAAAGTCATTTTAACAAATGGTGTGAGACAGGTAGACAGCCAGCCACACAAGAATGAAGTTGAGCTCCCCATCTATCTGACATCACAAACAAAAATGAACTAAGATGGATAAGAGACCTACAAGGTGAGAACTAAAACTGTTAAATTCTTAGAACACAACAGGAGAAGATCTTTATGATTATGGATTAGGCAGTGGTCTCTTAAATACAACAGAAAAGTGTAAGTGATAAAAAAAAGTTGGAGTTCATAAAAATTGAAAACTTGTGCTTCATAGGACACATATGAACAGAAAACTCAGGATGGTAACAATACTTACAGATATGTAGCTAGTAAGATATTTATACCTAGAACAAAGCACTCCTAAAATTCAACAGTAACAGCCAGTTGTGATAGCACACATCTGTAATCCCAGCACTGGGGAAGCTGAGGCAGGAAGAGCACAAGTTTGAGGCCAGCCTGCCCTACATAGTGAGTAGTTCAAGGCTAATGTGAACTATACAGCAAGACTTTGTCTCATAACCATAACACAATAAAAACACAACTCAATTTAAAAATGGGCAAATGATTTAAACACAAGTTCTCTAATGTATGATCAAAAAACACATGAAATGATGCTCACCACCATTAGTCATTAGTGAGATGCAAATCCAAACTACAGTGAGATGCAGCACTTCACACTAACAAGGATGCCAAACATCAAAGGTGGACAATGACAAGCTTACCAAGATTATAGAGAAAGTGTAACTCTTGAACATTTTGGATAGTACTGCAGCAATTATGAAAACCGGTTTGGTAGTTCCTCAAAAACGTCAAACATTGAATTAACATATGACACAGCAATTTCACTTCTAAGTATATACCCAAGAGAATCAAAGCAGAGAGCCACATAAAAACCTATACACAAATGTTTTTAGAACAATTACTGGCATTAGTTTAGAAGTAGAAACAATCATGTCCATTTACTGAAAAGTAGATTAAAAAATGTAATACTTACATAGGACAGAATATTAGTATTCAGTAATAAAAAAGAATAAAGCACTGCTATATTTACAACATGATGTGATCCTTTCAGTAGCATATACAACATGGATAAACCTTGAAAATACTACCCTGGGTGAAAAGGCCAGTCAAAAAATCACATATGATTCTATTTACATAAAATGTACAGAAGAAAGCAGTAAATTAGGGCCAGGGAAAAGGAGACATAGGGAATGACTGACTTTAACGGGTATGGAAGTTTCCTTATAGGATTGTTGGACAATAAAAATGTTCTGAATTACACAGTGGTGATTCTTGCATAATGCTATGAATATAATAAAGGTCCAAGAGAGAGGGGAGAGAGAATGGAAAGAAGAAAAAGAAAAACAGAGAGAAAAGAAGGAAAACAGGAAACAAAGCTTTTGTAAATGGGGAGGTGTACTGGTTGATTCATTGTGTCAACATAAGTTTACAGGGCTAGGAGATGGCTCAGTAGAAAAAAGCACTTGCTGGCAAGTGCAAGGGGCCTGAGTTCAATCCTCGGTTTTGCCAAACAAAACAAAACAAACAAAAAAACCCATGAGAAGTTTAGAAGCCTAACTAAAGTGACCTAACAATTTTACATCCTAGGATGTAGAGGACCTGCCCTTTTACAATATAAGGGAGGAGCAGGCTTGAAGGGAGTATAAGGCAATAGGGAAATTAAAAAAACCAAACATGTTGTATCATGTACAGGTACAGTCTCTCATAAATGTGATTATTGTATATATCTAAAATGTACCAATAAAATCTGATTTAAAAAAGAATAAAAGCTACTTAATGGTATACATTTGAATTGGATTACTTTTATAATATATGAATTATATTTCAATAAAACTATTTTAAAACATGACATGTTCTTAGTCATCTACTCATAAAATATTTAATGAATCCCAGCAACCTGTATTAATATCAAAGGTATAAAATTACTCCTTCAAAGATATTCTAATCTATTAGGTTCTATATAGTACAATAAGATGTTAGTAAAGCTATAAGATTTACATGCCAAATTCACACAGGATTGGAAACTATAGATTTTTTAATATGATAAAAAATAACCTTTTAACCCTAAAGCAGAAATCATGTGTGACAGGTAAAAATTAAAAGCATGACAACTGTGGCTGGAGTTGTAGTTCTATCTGTCTAGGGTGCACAAAGCTCTGGGTTTTATCTCCAGCACAGAAACAAAGGCAAAAACAAAACAAAAAGTAAAAAAAAAAAAACAAAAGCATGCTTCTGTACATCCAGTACAAAACAGATAATTAAACAGGCCATGGTGGTGCACACCTGTCACCTCAGCACACTGGAGGCTGAGGCAGGAGGAACACCCCAAGTTCAGGGCAAGTTTGAGCTATATAGTGAGTTCAAGGCCAGCCTGGGCTACACAGTGAGAGTCCTCAGACAAAAAGAAAAAGAAATGGAGAAGACTTATCAAAAAATAATGAAGGGCTGGGGAGATAGCTCGGCAGTGTAAGTGCCTGCCTGGCAAGTACAAGGACCTGGGTTTGATTCCTCGTGGTACTACATGCCATGCTGGCCCTGGGCACTGAGCTGGCCACCAAAACTGGGCATGGTGGTACACACCTGTAATCCCAGCACTGGGGAGGCTGAGACAGGAGGATCACTATGAGCCTGAGCTGCACAGCAAAACCCTGGACCAAATAAATAAAAAAATTTTTTTTTTTAATTTTCAAAAAAAAAGACTAATGAATGCTATATAAATTAATCTTTAAATTTACCTACCATCCTGATTTATAGAGCTGGAAAATATTCTTTAAATGCAATGACCTTAAAATTGATAATTGAGAAAATGCTTAAGACAGCTAGAAAACTAAAAAGATACAAGGTTAACTTAAGGATCATGCTTGTGGATTACTGTGGAATATATGGATCATATGGAACATTAAAAAGGCCATGCACTTGAATGATAAATTGAGCTCACTGAATATGGCATTAGGCTTTCTGCTTACTCTAGAAAACACTATAGGAAAGTCACAGGAGCTGGGTATGGTGGTACATGGTGGTACACACCTGTAACCCCAGAACTCGTGAGGCAGGGGCAAGAGGATCAGCACAAGTTCAAGCCACAGACTTGTTGTGAATATTATTTCTCACAGTACCTACATGACAACCCATCAGAAGAAATTTTCTTCAGAGAAGTATGTCAAGAAAAAAAACCTTTTCTTATCTGGGGAATTACTTTGTTTTATCCTTATCCTTTATCCTCAGCAGAGTAACATGGAAAGAGCAATGGCAATACTTTAGTTGCTAATCTATTTAATATGACTTTCAGGAAATACATATTTGCAGCTCAAATTTATTCCAATTATATGTAGACCACACAACATGACATCATCTTATTTCCTAAACTTCTATTTGAACCTGATCTTCAATTCAATCTATACTTCCCCTAACTCTATGTTTTCTTTCCTTATGTGGATTCTGGGGAAATTTAAATGATTGAATAAACGGATGCCTTACCTGAAAGTTGATCATTTCCTGCGGTTTTGGGACAGAAACCTATGAAAGAAAAATAGGAAGAGTAGAAAGACATGGGACACCAAGACTGTAATATAAAACTCTGCTCTCCCAGATTAGAAGATGGGATAAAGACAGTTCTATCAAGTCAGAAAATCCATTTCCATATGTATTGAACTCTACTTGTGATTCTGTTAGGAATATGTGGAGCTTAAAAATGTTTTACATTTCTGTCCTGCTTGAATGCAAAGTTGTGAAACTTTAAACCAGCGACTTTTCTCCCAAGGAAATAATGAATGGGTTGAAAGACTAAAGCCCCGGATCTGTGAAGCTCAGTAGGTATATCTAGAAATTATATTTTCCTGTGATTTTCTAATCTATCTCTAGATTGAAGCTGGCGCAAAAGAACTCCAATTAGATGGTGAGCTACCTACCTACCTTTCTCTCTCCACCCCGTCCCCTTTCTTAGATGGGCTCTCGCTAAATTGCTTAGGCTAACCCTGAACTCCTGGGCTCACATGATCTGTTTCGGCCTCCTCAGGCATGCACCTAGCTTTCTCATTCAGCCAAGGTAGAGCTTCCTTGAAAAGACTACATTCAGAAATGCAGGCTCATGTGGTAGTTCACACATTCATTCACAGTAAAGCTGGAGTCTTCAGTTTAGACTCCAAATCTATATGAAATTCTAACCAGCAGTGCTAAAACTGGCAAGTAGGAGTCACTGCTTCATTTATAGTCTTCATAGGAAGATCTGCAAATATAAGTGAATGCATCAAAATGTACTTAGCATCCATTGCTCAAATATTTCAAAAGGAAAGTACACTTGTATCAGTTACTTTTTCCTGAGAAACACAGCCCAAAGGAGAAAAGGTTTTTTGGGTTCACAATATCACAAGCTTCAGTGCATGGCTGACTAGTTCCAGCAGAGTAACAAGAGCAAGAAAGGGGCCAAAGATCAGAAATATTCCCTAGGATTACATCGCAAGCCCCACGCAGTCACGCCCAAGAGGGCGCGTTTCTAATCTAGATATTTCTCAAACCAATTAGTTGACAATCAAGATTAACCACAATACCCAACTCTATTCTATGCTGTAGTGCTATGCAGTAAAACTGGAATGATATTTGAGAAAAAAAAAAAATCTGGGTTGGAATCTTGGCTCTTTTACCTGCTGCGCTGTGCGAGTCTAGGCAAGTTATTTCACCTCATTCTACTGCTGGTACTTTAAACGCAAAATGGAGAGAGAATTACTTCGTATGATCGTGGATGATTACTCTAAGAATATATAGGAGTTTTTCTAGAAGTATTTTCTTCCCAGATCCCTTGAAGTGCCTTTCAAGTTTCTGTGGCAACAAGCTCTGGGAGGCTTTAATGCAAACTTCTACACCGTGGCCCTTACCTACCAGAGCAGGAACGCAAAATGATTTTGTCCCAGACACACCTAAGCTTAAGAACCTACCTCGTGCCAGCCAGAACCCTACTCTGCTTTCTCTGAACTACTCGTGTTGTACAAGACAACACACCCAAACACACCCAGTGTGAACGCACTTGGGGGGCTGTGCAGTTTAATCCTCCGCAGGGCAAACCCACTAACTGGCCTCTCCGTGCTCCCCGTATTTCCTTTAAGTCTCCCGAGTCCTGCAAAGCCCTACCGTACCTGCCACCTTTTCACCACCTCGTCCGCTGCTCTAAGACGGGGATCAGGTTACAGCGTCCAACGGACAGGAGGGAAGCGACCCCAAGCCATACTGCACAGGGCGCCAGTAGATTACTGCATGCCGGTTACGGTCCGTTGCGCCTGTCCGGAAATAACCGCTCACCTACAATTCCCAGGCTCCTTTGGGTTGTAGGCCATTCATCCGAGACCACACTTCCCATAAGGCCATGGAGCTTGTTTCCGGAAACCTCCAGTAGTTCTTCCTCTTTAGAAAGACTGTTCAGTTGTCATCTGTAGGGTTGCTGTATTTAAAATAGATGTTAGGATTTTTAAATAATGGAAAGTCTAAATCAGCAGTATGCAAAAATAGTTTATTCGGAGTGCAGTTTCTTCTAGGAGTCCGCTTAGAACTTGGAGCCAGGGTCGGCCAGTTAGCACAGCGGACTACAGCGCCCGCTTAGGCAGACACAGGGACCGGGTTCGGTCCTTGGTTTGCGGTGCCCGCCCCGCCTCGGGGGCGCGCTGACGAGGCGATTGAGACTGGCTTGGTGGCGCGCGCCTATAATCCCAGGGCTTAGGTCACTAATGATGTTGAAATGTTCTCTCTATATATATTCCCCTTTTTCAAAATGAAGTTTGATAAATTCTGAAGAGAATTTGATTAAAATGGAAGGGAAGAATTGAAGAAATAGAGAATATAGACACAATACAATTTCTTCTTAGTACATTTTAGATGTGCATGATAATTTTGGTTATAGAAAATTTGTATCTGTACATGATATTTCTTGCTTTTTAAAAATCAATTCCCCTCCCTTGAAACCCTCTTCTCTTATTTTCTTTTTTGTCGGAAGTGGGGATTGAACTCAGGCCCTTCTGCTTGCCAGTTTCCTGGCTTATTCTCCTGAGCCATTTCCCTGACCCAAAGTTCAAAAGTGTTTTTTTGTTTTTTATTTTTTATTTTTGTTTTTGTTGGCTCAGGATGCCTTCAGGGCAAGTCTGGTAAGGCTTGCAGATGTGGGGATTGAATCACCCTCTTTTCTTATTTACAAAAGCTTTATTTCCATTTTTCCTGCTATTCTCTCTTTTTTTTTTTCTTGTCCCATCCCTTCCCCCCACTTCCTCCCTTGTTCCCATCTGGACATTTTCTAATATCTATTATACATTTTGGCCATAATTCACACTTTTAGTTTCTCCCACCAGAGAAACAATGCAGTATTTAAACATGTGTCAGATTTATTTCACCTAAAAGTATGTTCTCAAAGTGCTTTCATTTACTGAGAAAGGTCTCAAAATTATCCTTTATGACAGAATAGTACTCTATTGTATAAATAAACCTCCACATCTTTTTTTTTTTTTTTTCGGACCTGGGGATTGAACTCAGGCCATTGCACTTGCCAGGCAAGCGCTTATTCTACTGAACTGTCTTCCCGGTCCCCACATCTTCTTTATCCATTCATTGATTGATGGGACTACTGACTATGCCAAGAAGTAGAGAATGTAGGTACAATAAAACTTTTTTTTAGTACATTTTATGATAATGTTGATTGTAAGGAATTTGTATCTGTACATGATTTGTATCTGTAAAGTTCTTACAAACCGTGCTGCTGTAAACACAGGGTGAGCATAGATCACTGTGGTATGATGCTTTTAATTTTTTTAAGATATCAAGAAGATACCAAGAAAGAGAAGAGCTGGGTTGAATGGAACTGCTAGTCTTCATGTTTTGAGGAATCTTCACAATGATTTCCACAGAGACTGTACCAATTTACACTCCCAGCAACAGTGGAGGAGGGTTAATTTTCCCCCAAAGCCCTGGCAGCATTTGTTATTGGTTGATTTCTTGATACTAGCCATTCTTTCTGGGGTGAGATGGAATCTCAGGATTATTTAAATTTACATCTCTCAAATGATCACTGAAGTTGAACTCATATATATTTATTTCCCATTTCTATTTCTTTATCTGAGAAGTGCGTATTTATCTTCGATGACCATTTTTGGGCTGAGTCCTTAAACTTGGGGTGTCTGATTTTTTTATTTCTTTATTTGGTCTAGATATTAGTACCTTAAGGACTAGCTGTCAAAAAAATTTTTCCCATGCTGTGGGCTACCTCTTCACTCTGTTGGTGGCTTATCTCACTGGGCAAAAGTTTTTTAGTAAGATGAGATTCAAGTTGATTGTGTTGGAAAGTTCCTTTGAGATTAGGGTTTTTTTTTTCCTTTTTTTTTTTTTTTTTTTTTTGTGGAACCGGGGATTGAACTCAGGCCTTTGCACTTGCCAGGGAAGCGCTTATTCCACTGAGCCATCTCCCCAAGCCCGAAGAGATTAGGGTTTTGATGATGAAGTCTTTGCCTACACCAATGTCTTTAAGAGTTCTGTTTTTGCGCTGGTGAGATAGCTCAGCAGATCAAGCTCTTGGTTTAGCAAGTGCAGGGACCAGGGTTAGATCCCCAGTGCCACAAGTCACACCAGCCCCACCCCTGGGGCATGCTGAGCCAGTGACTGAGTCTGGGTGTGGTGGCACACACCTATAATCCCAGTGCTCGGGAGGCTAAAAATGGAAGGATCACTATGAGTCTGAGCTGTGTAATGAGACTTTGTACCAAATACATAAATGGGGGGTGGAATTCTATCTTCTAGGAGATTTAGTCTTTCAGTTTTAATATTTAGATCTTTGATCCATTTCAACTTCTCATATAATTAAGGTTATTGGTATATTTTAGATATACATAATCATCATATTCCTCATAGAGAATTTGAACCTGTACATGGTATATTTGGATTGCTCTATTTTTCTCACTCTCCTTTCACCCCTTTCTCTCCCTACGTATAAAACTTTGTTTCCATTTTATCCTTTAAAAAAAATCTTTTTTCCCCTTTTCTCTTCCTCCCTTTCCCTCTTCCCTCACCAAAGTTTTTTCCTTTTGAAAAATTTCTTCCCATTTCACAATATATATTGCACATTTTGGTCTTCATTTACCCTTTCAGTTTCTCACATCAGGGAGACAATGTGATGTTTACAAATATGAGTCCAATTTACTTCACTTAAGGGTATGGTCTCTAATGGCATCCATTTACCTAGAAATGCCTCAAAGTTATCCTTTTTATGGAACAGTAATATTCCATTATATATAAAAGCCAAATTTTCTTTATATATTCCTTGCATGATGGATATTTGGGTTGTTCTCATGATTTAGCTATTACAAACTGCTGCTATAAACATGGGTACACATATGTCGCTGTGGTTTGATGATTTTAAATCTTCAAGGAAGATACCTAGAAGGGGAATAGCTGGATCAAATGAGACTTCTAATCTTAGTTTTTTGGGGAATCTCCACACTGGTTTCAACAGTGTTTGCATCAGTCTATACGTCCACCATGGAGAAGGGTTCCTTTTTTTCCATAGCTGCCTTCCTGCACTTGCTTTGGTTGATTTCTTCATAATAGCCATTCATTCTGGAATGAGATGGAATCTCAGAATTCTTTTAATTTGCATCTCTGTAATAATCAGTGGTGTTGAACATTTTTTGTATATTTATTTGCACTCATATTTCTTCATCTGAGAAGTGTTTTTTATCTCGATACTCAATTTTGCATTGGATCTTTGAATTTGGCGTTCTCATTTTTTTTAGTTATTATATGCTTCAGATATAAGTGCTTTGTGGAACAATTGCCTATAACTTTCACCATTCTGTGGATTGTCTTTTTACTCTGTTGGTGATTTCTTTTGTTGTGAAAAAAAATTTTAATAGGGTGAGATCCTACTTTATTCTTTTACTTCTTTAGTTAGATTTATACCTAAATAATTTCTTTGGATGTTATTGTGAAGGGTGTGATTTTCATAATTTCACTCTCATACAGTTTGTTGTTTGTGTGTGGGAATATTATTTTTTTGAGTGTTGATTTTCTATCCAGCTAAACTACTGAATTTGGTAATTAAATCTACAAGTCTTTTGGTGCAGTTTTTGGGATTTTCTATGTACAGCATCATGTCATGCACAGGACCGAGGAGATGGCTCAGTGGAATAAG